GAAAAGTCTAAGAGTAGAGGAAGTGGGATGGGTAGGGGAAAGGGGAAAAGGGAAAAGAAAAAATATGTTGAAAGGAAAAACATGGAAACACTGTCTTTGTAAACAGGGAAGGGTGGAGGGGCTGAAGGGAGGGCTGGAGAATGGGAAAAATAAGAACAAGACAAGTCATGTATAGGTACAAGATCCCAATGCGAATGTAACTGTATTGTATACCTAAAATGTACTAATAAATTTAATAAAGATAAAAAATAATTAAAAAGACAGCTTTAGCATTCAAACTTACATAAACCAGACTGATTTCATCATTCTGGTAAAAAAACAGTTATCTCAGTGCTCAATATATGTGTAGGGGGCTGGGAATTTAACTCAGTGATCCTGCCAACTGCCTCTCAAGTGCAAAGTCCTGAGTTCAATGCCTGACACTGTGAAATGGGAAGGAAAAGGGCTAAAGGTGTAGGGAAGGTGGGATGGGTAGGGGAAGGGTAATAAGGGAAAAGAAAAAAATGTGAGATAATGAAAAGATGGAAATAAAGTGTTTGTAGATGGGAAGGGGAGGAGGGGGTGAAGGGAGGGCAGGGACAAGGGGAAAAAATGAGAACCAAGACCTGTCATGTAGAGGTACAAGATCCCAACAATGAATGTAACTGTACTGTATCCCTAAAATGTACCAATAAACTCAATTAAAAAAATATATATGTATATATTCAACAATGTACCAAAAAGGGTTGAGGTTATAGCACAGTGATACAGTGTGTACCTACTATGCATGAGACCCTGAGTTCAATCCTCAACCCTGCAAAAGCAAAACAACAAAAACCTACAAAAATTTTTAAATAAATAAAATCCAGACCTGAGATTGCTTACATACTGAGTCTTTAGACAGTTTCCATAACACCCTCAAAATAAAAACTTCTTTAAAATCTTTAAAGTATTCACGTGGATCCATCATGTCTAGTCTGAAATGATGCCAAATGGCAAAGGTCTTGATACTAAAATAAAGTTATACTAACTTTAGTGTCTCAAAGGAAAAACATAAAAACTCTCACTTTGTCAGGAAGTCACTAAATTGGCATATCTAAATTAGTATGCTTTGTTTATAACATACACACAAGTTTTTAAAGGCACACAAGCCAAGAAAGTTTTGCAAAATTCTTTTTTTAGGGCCAGGGATTTAGTTCAGTGGTTCCACCGCTTGCTTCACAAGTGCAATGACCTGAGTTCAATCCCTGATACCAAAGGAAAAAAACAAAACAAAACAAAAATTCTTTTTTTTAGTAGTTATTATTGTAATAGAAAATCATATCTCCAATTTTCAAAAAATACATGTTTCCATTCAAGTTACTTTATATAGAAGGTAAGCTAAAGGAAGGAATCTCACAAATTTTTTTAAGGCTAAGCAAATATTCAATGCTGAAACTATACCAAATGGGAAGGAAAAAAAGGCAAATGTTACTTTGTTGACCAAGTGTTTTATTTACATAGATTCTTGTATAATCCTAACAAGTCAGTGAAACAGACATTCTCTCCATTATGCAAATGATGAAAATGCAACTCAGCAAGAGAAACCAACTGTGTGACCTGAAGCAAGAAAATAGCAAAGCAGAATTTTGAAATTTTGAATACCACGTTCCAAGGCTCAAACTCTTTTTACCACACTTGATTATATTACTTTGAAAAATAATGTACCAAATAATCAACTGCTCTCAGTAATGAGCTTTCTGTAAGAAGTCCTATTTTATTTTAT